GTGTGTGTGTGTGTGTGTGTGTGTGTGTGTGTGTGTGTGTGTTGGGGGTGCAGCAGGCTTGGAAATGTGGGTAGATTTTGGGATGGGCCCCAGCCAGTACATTTGAAATGTATTTAAATAAATAGACAGAGACATAAATAGTATTGGAGACATTTTGGGAGTCACAACATGACAAACATGGAGATCTGCAGTTGAATTTTAGGTAAAAAGAAAAGTCCATTGAAGGATGTGAGCGTGATCTTTATAGGCTGGTTTGGGAATAAATTATTAAAATCATGGCTGGGTCTAAATTTAGATACTTGTCTCAAAGCTGCACTCTGACGATTTAAAAGAAAACACTGACTTTAAAGAAATGCTGAACACAGAATCAAAAGTTTGTCATCGTCTTCGTACTCCTTCTGGTGAGCTGAGACAGTGCTGGAGTTTACTTAATAAACAAAATAAGTGTATGAAACAGATTCTGATTATATTTCAACACCTTCCTAAGTCATGATTTTTTAAAGTTCGTTAGGAATCTCTAAAAATGTCATACAGTACATTTGTAGTTGTGTTTTTCTTTGTGTGTGTTTACTGAAAAACCGAAAATCTAAAAAATATTTGTTTAAATGACTTGGACAATTATTTTAGGAAGGTTTTAATTTGAGGTCTAGCATTCCAAAAATGTACCTGCTAGTTACGTATATGCAGAGAAAGCAACAGACCCGGTTTTTCACTATTGCTGAGAAAAAAAATTATACGGTGTTTTAACGGTAAAAGAAAAAAAAGCAACAATTTCTGTTAAAAAAAACCCACCCCCATGCACCAATGAATAGTCTTACTGAACTTGCAGAGTGAGTGGTTTTAATATGGTGGAAAACTTCAAAGTCCAAGAAACCCATAGAGCTGGTCCCGGTTCAAACAAATCAAACCACTAAAACTACAGGTGTTCTCAGTGCTACAGCTAAGTTGTGCAACATTCATGTGGCAGCACTGGATATTTCTCTCATTACGCTGAACTTTTACACTGAACCAACCTTTAAGTCCGTTAGCATTGTATTTGAATTAAATGAAGAAGTCCAACTTTAAACACTTAGCTACCACAGAAAGAAGCATGTACACCACACTGAACATCCTAGAACTGCTTTCAGACTTTTTTTTAATCATGTTAAATATGTTTTAATCTTTCCATCATCAAAAACTTACCCAGAGTGTAGCTTTGACTCATTCATGCATTGGAACTGTCACTCTCAAAGCCTTGTTGTGATGACGTGCTGAAGTGGGAGTGTTGGAAATGGTAGGATTTTTTTCAAAAGACAAAGGCCAATTTCAGGGTGTTTAAATAGGCTGTGATGTACAGCATTTTCATAATAAATAAAGGTAAAGGTTACTTGATTGTGTTATGGAACTGACCTATGTGCCTGAAAATACATAACACCCCCACTTTAAATATGACTTTCTGCCAAATCATATACATTATTATTATTATGCCTCTGCCCACTGGGGCCAGATGCATACTGTTCTCTGGCTGCCTGTGTTAGTGCGGTGTCTGTTCGTCACGGGTGGTTTTGTGAGCACGATATCTCATGAAWAAAATTATATATTTACTTATAAATAGGCATAGTAACTACATGGTAGTAGGTTTGGGCATCAAAGGGT